CTACGCGATCACTAGGACACAAGGATCTAGCGTTACGCGCCGCTCGTATGTTGCCATTGTCATTTGTAGAGCGCTCCTCCCAACGCTTCATCGCGCGCCTAGTGATCGCATAGCAGTGGGATGTCCTTCTCGCTGCGCGCGCTTTACTTGCACGGATTCACCAATCTTTTTCGTATTACTTAGTTACTTATTACTAAAATACAAAAATAAGGTAAGGAACTTTCTTACTCGATTTGTACCTCCTCTACCTGTATATGACCGGTGGGGCGGATTATTGCCAGACACCCTCGTATATATATATATACAATTTTTTTAAATACAAATTATATTAATAAATTAATGAAAACAAGCTACAGAACCCAAGCTGGATTTACGTGCTTAGTTTATTTACATATTATAGCAACCATTGTTTAGGTCAATTATAACAAATTATAAGGATCTAAACGTTTCGACCATTTGGTTGTGGTCATCTTCAGTAACAAATTATATTATACTATATATTATATGTTAACAACATTGTGCTGTATATAATATGTAACAAAATGAAGTAAAGCAAATACGTAATAAATATATAAGTAAACTTTTTAGGTATAAATTTGCATAACTGTACAATCTTTTATTTTTAAAAAGTAAACCATCAGCAATTTTATGCTGCAAACATCAGTGTATAAACTGATTTTTGCAACATAAAATTACTGATGGTTTACTTTTTATTGACTAAAATTAAGAGGAGATTATACCGTTACACAAATTTAAACCTAAATTTTAGCTATAAATTTATTATACGTATTTGCTTTATGTCATTTTGTTACATATTACATATATACAGCACAATGTTACTGACATATTAACCTAAACACTACTTAAAAGTGAGGTGATGGTAATCTGTAGCATTAATATAACATTTACAGAACACAGTGAATATCTGTTCTGAAAATATTATACAAATATTACAGAATATACGTATAACTAACACCTAAAATTTAAAATATAAAATTACATAACTATAACAAAACTTAGTAAATACTGTTCTGTAATATTTGCATAACATTTACAGAACACACATGTCTGTGTTTTGTAAATGTTATGCAAATTTTACAGAAGAAAGTGTTTACTAGGCTCTGTTATAGCTACGTAATTTTACAGAACACATATGTGTATAATTTATAAATGTTACAGAACAAAGTGTACTAGGTTCTGTTTTAATTGCGTAATTTTACATTTTAAGTTTCAAGTATTTGTTACGTGTTATATATAGCGTAATGTTGCTGACATTTCCACCTAAACATTATCTAGAAATGACATAATGGTTACCAGAACAGCGAACATCTGTTTTGTAAACATTATGTAAAAGTTACAAGACAGTGTTTATTGGGATTATAAAGAAATAACTAAGAAAGAACATCTTACAATAATCATATTATTAATTTCATTAAGAAATATTACGTTAATAATTACATATATTCTTAGAAATAGAATTATACTATAATCAATTTTGTATTTCATTAATTACAATTTTATAATCTATAATAAAATATCATAATCATTGTTAATCATAATTAATTAATCAATTATTTTCCAAGTATATTAAGAAAAGAAAAATTAAATATAAAAAGTGCAGTGCATGAACGAAATCGGCGCCCAGCATTGCCTGGTGAATCATTTATAGTAAGGTAAGACTACCGAATTTTAGTACTAAATACATCTCTTTATTCGATAGAAAAAAAAATATAAAGTCGAGGCAGTGCGCGATCAATTAAAATTCCAACGCCGCTATCTAATCTTAGAGAAAGATTACGGTTAGCGGTCGGTCCGTCATTCTCTATTCATTCCGCAGCCTCGCGACGGCCTCTTAATAAATTGCGAGTGCATAAAAATTACTTGCAAGCTATCGGTCTCCTCTTTGTGCAGAGTTTCGTAGCGCATCCCTGTTAAGACTGCACGGTACAGTCAGCGCAAACCAACGCGAAAAATAGTCTGTGTCGAAAGTTTTCACAGAGAGAAGTTTTCACTACTATTAATAAATTTCATTACTTTCATTTATTTTTATTATAATAATCATTTTGTTACACGTGTACATTCACACACGTATAATTTCCACAACCACATTGCTACAACAGGAAACTAGCACGATTTACAGAAACAAATATAATATTGATATTTAACAATATACTTAACTATTATAATTATTATAATTATTATTTTTTTTTATTTAGTAGTATTTAGGAAAGGGAAAAATAAATATATATCTATTCATCCATAAGACCCCTATATAAAAGGGATACTATTACTAATCAACATATTACTAATATTATTCGTACAATTAAGGTAAGACGAAATATTATTTTACATCATAATCATTTTTATTTTATAATAATTTGTTAATCGTAAAATCATGGTCTTCTTAATAGATGTCTCACCAATTATTCATCAATAACAAAAGACATCCCATAATCTCATTATACCCGAGATATAATATAATATATAAGTGAAACGTTCGTTAATAAGTTTATTTACTGTGTAAAATTATTTTACACACAGAAACAAGATAGGGGTCCATTAATATCTGTTACGGGTGCCTTGCAGGTGCAGACCCCAATTTCAGACAAGGATATACATTAAAATTGAGACATAGATTAAAATTTTTTATCGAACAAAGAATTTATCGATGCGCCATTTATACTTCAAGTCTCGCTTTCGTCAGGAAAATTAAGAGTTGTAGAGAGTGTACATACCATTATTCACATTTATTGTCACTATTTACGAAACCTGAGCTAAGATTTTTCTATCAAAATATTTCTCCGCAAACGTTAACATTGAGATCACTAGTAGTAACAAATGTAGATTTGACTAATGCATATGAATACAACGAGATAATATTAGTAAAAATAATGTTAAAGTTTATTAAAGATAGGTTAAAATTAAAATTTCACGGTTATCACGAGAGACAGGAAGGAAGATCCACTTTCATTACTATAAGACCTGAATATGCATCATATCCAATGAATTCCTAAAATTTAAACTTGTAAAGGGACATTGGGCAGAAAGATTTATGAAGTTGTAACAGGATTTAAATATAGAAACTTGTTGTATAAGCGCTAAAATCAGTCGTGCACGACATCAATTATACCGAAAGTATATTATATACAAATCGACTCTGAATAAACGTTTTTGATTTATTGTCATCGATGCAGTAGCTTCAAGCCGTGATATCTTTGGGTTTGCGGTGTCTTATCCCGCGGCATCTTTGGGTTCGCGGTATCTTTTATCCCGCGGCATCTTATTTTGTAATACGCCGCACTTAACAGTGCTACGCGTTATAATCTCTAAATCATGCGACTTCGGCGTGATTTTCTAAAGAACCAATCACAATCGTTTAAGGAAGAAATGCTGCGACCAATAAAATCCTTGAGGAGGTTCCAAACACGATATAAAAGGTAGTTACTCCCCAGCCTCGTCAATAATATTTCGTCGAGTCTTGGATACAGCGCTTCGAACTAATAGTTTATTCAGAGTTCATATAACAATACGGGCAAGAGCGTGTTCGCCCGAATACAATCTCGTGGGTAAGAGCGTGTTCGCCCTTCATTATAAGTGTAATTATCAGTAATAAATTAATATCCCACAAAGGTGTTGTGTGTATAGTTCTACATTTACGTTCCACAAATAAACTACAGCGACGGTCATTAACTTAACCTAGCTGAAACAGAACAAAACTGAAATAAAACACAAGTGTGAACCAAATAGACATTTATTATAACCGGTGTAGAAATACATCCACATCCTTCAAGGACCGAACACTTGCTGCAGAATCGGCTGGCCCGCGACCTTGAAGCGACCACCTATATGAAGTAAACCATCACAAAAATCTGGTGACAGCGGCTATAACAACCCTTATAGTATCCGGGAGACGGGTAACCATCGTTTAATTCATTTGAACAATAAGGGCCTTTCGCTCCTGGGATCATACGCACCGTGTGCGTCCTGTTGGGGAATAATCCTCCCTCGCGGGACGTGACAGCAAATAGAAAAAACGTTGAAAGTTATTTTGAAAAACTATTGGTTTCCATATTTAAAATCCAAAGTAAAGACACATATTTCAAATTGTTTAAAGTGCTTGGCTTATACACCGCCTTCGGGAAAAACAGAAGGCACTTTGCATCCAATACCAAAAGGAAAAACACTCCTCTGAATGTATTGCACATTGAAGACCATTTAGGACCTATCGATAAACAATGTACGATTAAAAAGTATGTTTTTCTAATTGTAGATGCGTAAAAAGCATAAGAAACCGACTGTATATAAAGAAGGTGATTATGTTCTATTGCGTAATTTTGATAGCACCGCTGGTATTTCTAAAAAACTAATTCCCCAATATAAAGGGCCATATGTTATTGCGAAATTATTACAAAATGATCGATATTTATTAAATTAGTATGTGATATAACTGGTTTTTAGAACACACAAAAAGAATACCGAGGAGTGTAAGAAGCCAAAAACGGCTATTGGTTAAATCAGATACTGATAAAATTGATTAATTTTAGCAAGACATCTAGATGTACTTCGTATTTAATTATTATTTCATTGCGTTAAATATCAGCTTATTGTTTTTGTTTCATTGGATTAAGAATGTATTTCGTATTTAATTATTATTTCATTGTGTTAAATATCAGTTTATTGTTTTTCTTTCATTAGATTAAGAATGTATTTTGTGATTAATTATCATTTTTTGTATTAAATATCAGTTTATTGTTTTTCGTTTCATTAGATTAAGATCGAGGACAATCTCTAGTCAGGATTGCCGAAATTATAAGAGACATCTTCCTTGACAACGGTTGTAATTACATTTAATAAGTCAATATTGGATACAGAGACGAATCTCTCCAATAGGAGCAAGCGTGAAGATAGTTTTTGTCTTGTTAATGATAAAAAGTGTAACAAGGGACAGTTCTCTTGGAGACAGCGCAAAGACAAGACGAAATAAATTTATATTAATTACATAAGTAAATTATTATTTTCTCGGCACCAACGAAAACCTCCTTTTATACTATCTGATAATTATGTGATTCATAAGAACTCATTATCAAATGGTTGTCACATAATTCTTAAAAGTATACAATTTATTTGAATAATTTTACAAATTTGCACACAGATATTGCAAATTTCTTAATGCAATTTTTCAAATTTTATGATTTTTTTATGTTTAGTTACAAGAGTGTTATTTATATGTTATTTTATTTTTGTCAAATATCTAAAGAGAAACGTTGTAGTATTTTTTGTAATCGATTTATTTCACTAAATGTAAGGAAAATGAAAAATATGATCAAAACTTGCGCTCGCGACTTTGAAAAAATGGAGCACGACGTAACAATAAGTAATGGTAAACAATACAATAATTATTCTAATTGTTTTTACTTTTTACTACTCTATGATTACGTATCTGTATAATCTTATTCTTCTTATCGCGTATACTGTATATCTAATTGCGACGCGTATGCATTCTGCGACACATTTTAAGAATATCTATAATGTCGCGAAAGTCGCAAAATTCACAGTTATGCGAATTTCGCTTCTATCATAAGATTTGTTGCAAATATGAGAATTTTTGCCGATTAGTCTACTAATTGCAAACTTAATTCGTTAATCAAAATATGCAGTAATATGTACGTATACGGAATGATGGCACCAATATAATCTGCAATATAAATAATCCACAAACTACGGTATATATTTTTTTAATTAGATAATAAAGGATTAAATATAAAGTACTATATTTAATATTACTTCCTATTTATGAAGAAACGTAGTAAAATAAAATTTTATATATATGGTTTAAATTTTGTTCAAATTGGACATTAGAAATTTTGTAATATTTTTACGGAACTAATTTTTGTCATAATTGGGATTCGAAAATAAATGTATATAAATGTATATAAATGTATAGGACCCTGGTAGAAATTCACTCTAGGCCTTATTATGGCCCCGACTAGCTCGCCAGTCATCAACTCGGGCGTGATACTGGCAAATTAGTCGGGGCCACATACGAAATCGTCA